CCGCCGTAATCGATCGTCCCGACACCCCTCCCCCCGGCATCCCGCACCCCCCCCCCAAAAGGTTACGGCCTGACCCCCAAGCGCCCCACCTGGCGCATCGGCCAGGGCGTCTGCAGTGAGAGCCTCGCCCTGGAGGTGGCCCTGGCCTGTGGCCTGCAGGAGGACGTCGCAGTGCGCGCAGCACAGCTGCTGAGCCTCGTGCCCCCCTATGAGGACCTGGCACGCGCCGGCTTTGGCGTAGAGTATGCAGGCGGCCCCGGCAGCGCGCACGACGGCGGGGCTAGCAGCGAAGCAGCCGGCAGCAACGGAGGGTGGGGCGGTGTGAATGGTAATGGCAGCAGCAACGGACACCCCGTCCATCTTAACGGCTATTCCGGCGGCAGCAGCTGGGTTCTCTCAGGGGCGTCGGCTGGCGCCTTTGCGCAGGGGGAGGGTAGCGCCGGCAGCAGCAGCGGCAGCAGCGGCCAGGGCGAGGCGGGCGCCTGGCACCTGATCGGCGGCGAAGGCGGCGGCGACACCAGCACCAACAGCGGCAGCGACAGCAGCAGCGGCAGCGACGGCGAGGCGGCGGCCGAGCCGTCTGGGGCCCCCGAGGAGCAGCCGGCTGTGCCTGTTGTCCCCCTGGCAGAGGCTGAGCCCGTGATGAGCGCCGTGGTGGCCTGGCTGGCCGACCACGGCCTGCTGACTCAGCAGCCACACGCCGAGGTGGAAGCTACGCCCGCTGCGGCCGGCGAAGGGGCAGGGCACGGCAGCGGGGAGGGTGCCGGGGGCGCAATCGGCCGCCCCGACGCGCCGCGCGCGCCGCTCCCGCGGCCACTGTTGGTGGAGGCGGGCCGCACGCAGCCCCAGCCCGGGGACAGCCTGCGGCCGTGCGTGTACGCAGTGCGCTGGCGTCGCTCCGGCTTCTTCTACGGCGGCTCCACCAATGACGTGCGGCAGCGGTACCGACAGCACGGCGCCAGGGGCGGCCCCGTGGACATGCTCTACGTGGCACTGGACAGCGGCGGCGGCGGCGGGGGCGGCGGCCCGGGCGGCGGCGCGGGCGGGGGCTGGGTGGCGCTGGAGGGCGCGCTGGCGGCGGCGGAGGGTGAGCTGATCCGGCGGCTGAGGGACGCCGGGTTCCCCATGAAGTCGACACGCGACGCGCGGCGCAAGCGGCGCGGCCGGCAGTGACGGGGTGGGGGTGGCGGCGGGCCCTTGGTGGCGCAGGGGGGGACGATTATACCCGCTCCCTAGTTCAGCAGCTTTACCAGTCGTTAGCGAGAGGAGCCGTGCGCAGGCTGTCGCTGGGTTGGGTGTCCTCACAGCCGCAAAACATGCGGGTGCTTGTCAAGTCGATGTGGCGGGCCGCTCTGTGTGACGGCTCATGACTCACGAGCGCCCTCACAGCCCTCACGAGCGAGCAGCTCGGTGGTTTCGATGCTAGAGAGATAGAGCATGCAGTTTGGTGTTGCAGCTGAGCTAATTTGTTTGTGTAGGAGATCATGTTCTACAGGCTGCTGTAGGCCAGGACCTTGTTACAGATGTGTGCGCAGGAGCGGTCGATACGCAGCCCACGTTGTCCGGCGTCGCAGTGCGTGTATGTGTCAATGCAATCCATAGACTTGCAAGGACCCATGCAGGCAGCGTTTTTGAGTTGCCCTGTTGTGCATGTGCGCCAGCCAGTGCTGACAGCGCACTGCGCAGCGCTCCTAATACCCTGCCAACACAAACACCACGGAGTGTTCACAGTAATGGACGAGCTCAAGTCTTGGTTTGTGGGTAGTTTGTGGGCAGTGAATGCGTGGCAAAGGACCATTTTGTGTCAGCAAAGCGCCTGGTGCCCCGCATGTCGGTGCTGAATTTTTTTTGCGTGCCGCGCCTTCTGGTTGGCAGCGACGAAGCGTCGCGGGTGCGCCAAGAACCAGGTCTTGAGTCGCGGCCGGCTGTTCGTGGTTGGGCATTCTTGGTGCGCACAGCAGCGAATCACAAGGCAGCGCCGTGGAGCACAGGAGGCCGCTCCAGACACAGCATTCTTGAAGAAGGAATGCAACTGCAATGTGGGCCGGGTGGATGGACCGGGTGTGCGCTCGATGTGGCGGACAGATTCTGCGGCCCCATGCCGCCGACCCGTTTGTGCCGCATCAGTGGTTGAAGCCGGTCATCAGACGCTCTGTGTGGGTGCGGGGCAGGTCCCACGCGTCCCCAGGGTGGATCGCCCCCGGCTTGCGCCCGCCGTCCGCCATCAGCAGCTTGTCCAGCTCAGCAGAAACAGCCTCGCCCGTCACGATGGCGCCCTCGAAGAAGCCGGGCCAAGAGCTCGAGTTCTCAGTACCGGCCCTGCGCACGGAATGGAAGCACGTGAGGGGGCGTTGACTGTCTACGTGTGCGTGATCGCATGGCGGGCCCGCGTACCCCGGCTGGGGCTGCAGGCGCGTCATGGCCGCCGCATCATAGCTGCCCACACACCCCCATGTCCCCCCCCCTGGCGCGCCACGCACCAGTGGATGCGGCCGCAGGGCTTGAAGTAGGCCTCACGCAGCGACGTCCACGCGCCGGGGGACACGTACGAGGTGTAGGACCCGCCGGTCCACTGCTGTGAGGGCCAGTCCACGGCGATGAAGTTGATGGCTTTGGTGGCCACCTCAGGGCAGGCCATGAACTCGGCCCAGGTGTCCAGCACAGCCTTGCGCACCTCATCCTCGCCCTTTGTGAGTGTGTGTGTGTGTGTGTGTGTGTGAAAATGGTTGCTGTTTGAGTGGTCTGGGCAGAGCAAAGCGGCAGGTCAGGAGGCTGACACGCGGATGGCAAGCTGCGCCAGACGCACACCAGGAACAGAATCGCATGCTCCTGCACACCGAACACACACACACACACACACACACACACACACACACACACACACACACACACACATGCTCATGTACTCTTGCACAATCGCATCACAGACACACAGGCCACCACCTCTTTATGCCCAGCCCTCTACCCACCTTGCTCATGAGCTCAAAAGCATTGTCGTTCCACCTGTGGCGACGGGGGGGCCGGCGGCGCGGATGCGAGCGTATCAGGCGCGCGTGCCCCATCACAGCTCACGCGGCAGGGCGAACGCAGCGGTTGGTGGCCCCCTCCCCTCGCACCCCCCCTGCGCTCACAGGAACGACGCCAGCACGCCTGGGCCGCCTGGCGGGGAGACGTCAAAGACGCTGTCGATGTAGAGGGGGTGGTCGGGGTTGAAGGCGTGGGGCTCCAGGGCAACGGTGACCTGCTCCGACAGCGGCACACCCTCGGCGCGCCAGTACGGCCGCTCATAGAATGCCAGCACCTGCAGAGCAGCAGCGCGTTGTTGTGAGGTCACACATGCTTGCTTGCGTGTAGGTCGCACGCGCGTAGGTGGCATTGGGTTGGATTTGGCCGAAACGAAAAAGGATGCTGCTACTGCCAAGGCGATGCTTAAGCCCTGCTTTAGCCCTGCTACTGCTCCACTCGCTTGACCCATGAGCTGCCCCGCCTCCTTGGACCGCAGCCTGCCCCAGGGTACCGCCGCCCCTCACGCCGCCTCACCTTGACCACCGCACCCATGGGGGTGCGCTGTGGCACCTGGTTGCGCTGCCGCGGCAGGGCCGGGGCAAAAGTGACGCGGCCCGTCAGCCAGGGCGGCATGGCCAGCACCGCAAACTTGCCAATGTACCTGGGCCAGGGGTTGGCAGGCACCCGGGTCATGTGCTGGCAGGCGGGCAGCTGGCGGTGCCACCAGATCTAGTTATCTGCTGGGAGCATGCTGCCCGTAGCTGTCGTCCTGATGCTTCTTCCAACAATGGAGTGCGCACACGCACACGCGCGCACACACACACACACATACACACACACACACTCACATGCGTGCAAAACACGCAGCCAGTCCCGAGGACCCCCCAACCCTCCTGCGGTCCTCACGTGCCGGCGTCGCTGACCACCTCCACGCCGCCCTCGTCGTGGTTCACGTGGCGCACGGGGGCCGCCACCACGATGGTGCCACCCAGCTCCTTCACCTCCTGGAGGGGGGGAGGGGGGGGGAGGGCCGGGGCGCGCGATCATGCGCACGGGGGCTCG